TGTGGGTGAAACCAAACAATCACTATGCTCTCAAATGAACTTATATAGTAAAATCATAAGAGAAAAAAATCCTGTCACCTGTGGGTGAACACCTCACAAATTGGTCCCCCCTCCAATTTTGCTGTGATGCTGGGACTTCCTTTACCAGACAAGAACAGAGCTCTGTGGTTTGAAAGCTTGTCTCTCCAACCAAAAGAGTTTGGCCAATAAAAGACATTGCCTCACCCACCTTATCCCTCTAACATTCTGGGACTTACATGGCTACAACTACACTGCAGGCATTCTGAATATTTATCTTTCTCATGCGGCCTTCATTTAGGAAATTATGGTCCAGCTGTAGGAACTCGCTCTTGGCTGAAGAGGATATAAATATTGGTTTTGCATTTCCTTTGTCTATTAGGGTACGTCTACACTACAACGTTAATTCGAACTAAGCTAATTCGAACTAATGGATCCACACTAAAAAACTAGTTCGAATTAGCGTTTTGCTAATTCGAACTAGCATTTCCACATTAAGTGGACCCTGAACCAGGCTTAAGGATGGCCGGAAGCAGTGCCGGCAGGGCATCAGAGGAGGACTTAGAGCGTGGAGATGCAGTCTCAGGCTAGCCGAGGGCTGTGCTTAAAGGGTCCCAAACCCCACCCCGGACAGACAGTTCTCAGGGGTGCCCCGCTTGCAAAGCAGTCCTGGCTTGGATTGCCTGGTGTACCCACACTGGGCACATCACACCACTCGGCCATCAGACCGGCTACACTTGCCGCAGGCTGCCATCTGGGGAGAGGGGGAAATTGGGGGGCTGCAGGAGAGCTTCCACCCCAAAAGCCCGCAGAGCCAGCCCAGTCCTCCCCATGACAGTTCTCAGGGGTGCCCCGCTTGCAAAGCAGTCCTGGCTTGGATTGCCTGGTGTACCCACACTGGGCACATCACACCACTCGGCCATCAGACCGGCTACACTTGCCGCAGGCTGCCATCTGGGGAGAGGGGGAAATTGGGGGGCTGCAGGAGAGCTTCCACCCCAAAAGCCCGCAGAGCCAGCCCAGTCCTCCCCATTGGGGGCTTGTACCCCATTCCT